CGCGGTTACGCTTTGAAAAGATTTTGAGAGCAGATAATATTTTTAAATAGACGTAGTTGACAAAACATACTCCACACATTTATCATTTTTACTCGTGCGACACAAAAAGGAAAAGCAACGAGGAAAAAACTTGCAGAAGAATTACTTTTAACGTAAACATTAATATAAAACTTCATATTCATCTATTTAAATAACTAATTGTTGCAACCTTTACTTTATGGAAATAGGGAATCATACTGAATAATAAATCCAGGAAAACACTTAATTTCTACTTAGACAGGTACTTTATTGAACCCTTAATAATTGTTTCGCCCTACCAGGTCATCTTCAGAGTGTGTTTTCCTGATTATTCAATATTTATCTATTTAATTTATTGCCTAAAACTCGTGCAAAACAATATGGGATTTATATTGATTGCATGTTTTTTTAAAGTAGTATAATATATTTAATATGTTACAAAATTACAATTAGAATTTTGCCACAATAAACTTTTTTATTTTTCACCTGCATTTTCTTCTTTTACATAGTAATATAAAACTGTTTTTAGCTTATTAAACCGTAATAAATGTTTTAAATTAAAATATTGAAATAGTTACTGAATTATTTATTGAATTTATTCAGTGTGGTGCCATCTACCAGTAGTATTAGACAATACGTAGAGAACTTTACAGAAGCTTTACTGTTAGTATCACAGATACCACCCTTATTTATGACATGTTATACACATGTTTATGCATATTTATGACAGATGTCCATCCGAGGCCGAGAATGGTCAACTCATGTTAATACAAAAGTTCAAATGATTTTGAAAAGCACTTTCAATTATTTATCTTATTATAATTGCAACGTTTACAATATACTGCACTTTATAAAACAAGTATGGATTTTTATGTAGAAGACCATTAGCTAAATTGTTTGATACTTACATCATTTAATGTAACTTATATGAAAACAAAAAATTATTGAAAATGAGAGGATAGAAAAGTCCTCCTTTTTATATATGACGTGTATAGATCAATGATTTATAGGAAAATGTCTATATAATCAAGCTTATAACTGATTATTTATTCTTCGATGTATGTAAAGTGCGATTCGCCATAAACCGCAAAATGATTCATTCGAATTAACTTGGTGTGCTGTGTAATTTTAGAGATATGAAATTTTCTCACCAATATTTCTGTGTACTAAATTGTAATATTCGCACATATACAAATTAACATAATCTATTACTCTTAATGAGAGTTCCGCTTTTCCTTGTTAGGTGCGAAACCATAAAAAAAGTTAAATATTCACGTTATTCCGTGATGCCCCTTACATTACGCATACTTAGGAATAAGTAGGTACCTCAATAATTTTTAAAATTTAGCCATAAGTGACTTAAGTACTTATGGTACATATCGTCAATACATTGCTCATAGGTACAATAAAAAATTACAGGTCGTAATATAAATAGGTAAATAGAAACAAATACTGAAAGAAACAGCAAGATTGTTAATAAAATTAGCCCTGTATACATTTCATTTGACCAACAATATAAAACAGACAACATAATTTTTGAAAAGAAGACGAATTATTTCGAATTATGAAAGTTTATAAACAACTGTTTTAAGCACGTAGAAATAATAAAGAGAAAAGCTTACCTTTACTGGTGTACATAATAATTGATGTTTTCAATACACTTAGAATTTAGATCCGGAAGCGAGATATTATTCATAAAACTAAAATCACTGCTATCCGCAATTTAAAAAATTATTGCGGAGATCATTGCAAACCGACACCTAACCAACTAACATGCTTTTTACTAACTCACCACAACATACGATCACTGTCGATCAAAGTCGGATCGTAACCTACGACCTTCGGCGGGCCAATCGACGCCTCGAATTTTACCCTACCAACTAGTGCTGTTTGTACAGCTTTTTATATTGACAGAGAACAGAGATAAAGTTTAATTTATTTACTACATTTCGCCTTTTCGTATATGTCTTAAATGTCATGTAGAATTTATTATTATGCAAAATATGCAGATTTTAGCAACAATAGCCGATAATAATCTTTACTTAATAAAAAATCTTACTGTTTGAATTAGGTTATCAGATGCCTACCTCGACACGTAAAAGCTAACTAACAGAAACTTAAAATTTTTGAATCGAGGAAGCTTTAAGTTCTTATACCTCTATATTAAAAAACGAAATTAACATATATTTTATTAACCACAATGATCATTTCACCACACAGTGGATTCTTCAGGTGAAAGAAAGAGAAACTAAATAGAAGTACCTACCAACACCTTTTG